GCCAAAAGCACATTCAGAATGCCCTTGAAGCACTTCTCTCGAGGCAGTCATTAAACTATCTATGTTATATATGAATAATACTGAATGTATTATTCAACTTGGTCAGACATCTAAGGTTAGTAGCTGTTTGGGACTATTAAGCCAAGGAAGTAAGTTTTGATAAGGTTTGTGAAAAATAATGTCATAACAAAGATGGGACAGTAGTGTAATTCTCACTGATATGATAGACTTGTGTTTTGACTTTACTACTCAGACTGCAAGCTAACATGATTGATGCTATCCAGCATACAAAATATAAATAATAATAGTCTTGCTATAGAATGGTAGCAAGGAAATGAGAAGCCTGTTAGCGTTTCTGAATGCAGAAAGTGCCCGACAAACTTTATTGTGTCATGAACAGATGGCAACCTAGTTGAGTAGCCATAAGTGTAAAACAACAGAAGAAATAGGGCTTCTTAACCAAATGAAACCACCACCACTACAAAGCATACTGAACATCCTAGTATTTTTATACATGAAAATCCAGGCTAAAAAGGAAACTTGTTCAGCTATCCTGGTTACTAGGCAACATCCCTTCCACTTTGTGTCCCCTGTTTATACTGAAGGCTTTTTGATGCATCCGGGGCTTTTAATTAGCTCTGCATCCTGAGTGACCACTGTTATTGCACAGAAGATTTTTTTTAAACCCCAAGAACAAATTATCCCTTAGTTCATGTCATTTTTGGGTACGATTCCTGCCACTGCTGTTCTACCATCCATTCTTTATGGTAGTTGGATCACTTTACAACATTCATTTCATTCAGAAGAAAATTGTGTCGTTCACTAAGCATCTGCAACCATCTCCCATAGATAATACCGAAGTTGAATAATCCCTTGCTTCTGCAAGTCTCTTAGTAGGTGGTATTGCATGTCACTATGCTTGATGTCCATCCTGTCCATCCGTGCCAAAACTATATACATTTAATTGTCTTCCTAAAGGAGTACTGATTCATTCATGTTTAGTCCCATGTCTGAAAATAATGGATAAAGCCAAATCACCTCTTGGTGTGACTGTTCTTCAGTTACATCCTTTTCCTCTATAGACAAGTGTGCAACAACATCATAGGCTTGGCTGTCCTTCTTGGCAACCTGTCTTACCTACTAGTAAGTTCTTCGTGGTCTCCGTGCATCACCCATATGGGCTCTGCACCTGTGTGGAGCCTGTTGTCAGGACAGTTTGACATGAGTTTATGGAAATGGTGAATTACTTCTGGGCAGCTTTTCTCCATCTATTAGTCTAAACTTTAGGTAACTTGGTGATGTAGGTGGGTTTCAGTGCATCATATATCATGTAGGAGAGTCTGCAAGGCATTGTTTTCTTTCTTGTACTGCTTGACCTTCTGAGGCCAGCTTACTGTCATGTTGAATGTCTTGGGCTAGGCTTGAATGGTGCTAATACTTCACCCTCTGTTTACCCAAAGTTTTCTGATATATCTTCCTAAAGGAGGAATGACCCTTCATATTTAATACAAAGATAGCCAGTGTGGTATAGTTAACAGTCTGGGACTCAAGTGATCTGGAGCCAGCTGGGTGAATTTGGGCCAGTCTTAGACTCTCAACCCAACCTACCTCACAGGGTCATTGTGGGGATAAGGTTGAGAGCAGGAGAAGGAAAATGATGTATGCCACTTTGACTTTGTAAGAAAAAAGTCAGGATATAAATCTAATAACTGTATACAAAACTCTAATAAATTAACACTTAGCTTGAACTTATTTTTTGTGTGATCTCTGGCCATTCTTATTCCAACCAATACTAGGCTAGATTTTTTCTCACATCTATCACATATTGAAGGGGATGTATTAAGTAATATTCAGTTGCATAAGTTTCCATCTACTGTCTCAAGTGGGACAACTCAAACACAAGCTTAGCACTTCAGTGAGCTAGGGCAACTTCAAGACACCAGAGCAGTCACAGATCAATCAGAAAGATGAGGCTAAGAATCACAGTTGGTATCAGGTTCTACAGAAGGTTCACAGAAGAGGCGGGATAAGAAAATGTGAGTCAGAATGCCAACTTCTTGCTGCTTACATTTATTTGTAGGCATTCCTTGGAAGCAGAAGCCAAGAGATCAGGCAGCCAAAGGAGCTTTAGCTGCTCCTTAATCCAGGTCAGCATAGCAAAACTGTGAAGTAAACCTTGGTATTAACAGGCAAATAAGATGACAACAATTGACAAGGGAACAGCATTGAAGGAAAAATACTGTTACCAAATTTTATGAAAGAAGACTCAGTAGGGAGGATTTTTGACATGTGGCAATAGAAATGAATGAGCACAGTAATGAAGTATTTGAGAAAGTGGTCAGTCAACACATTAAGTAAAATAACTTTGGACACCTAAATACATTTCGGTGTCCTACTTTATAATATTCAGCAGTTTTACAGATATGTGTGATCCTGTGGTAGCTCACCAGAACAGAGGTGAAAAAGTTTCTTAATTATTGGCAGTAAAGTTCTGTAATTTTTCTGCAGTCATGGTTTTTGTTTTCTTAATGTTCAGCTGCAGTCATGCATTTTGTACTTTCTTTCACTTTCATTAGGGATCAATTTATTGCTGATTTTTTCCTGTAATATGGTATCATCTGCATATCATAAATTATTGATTGATCTTCCACTTATTTTCACTTCTTCCTCTGATTATAATCCAGCTTCCCTTATGATATGTTCTACATACAGATTGAACAGATAAGGATATGAAATATACCCTTGTCTGACACCTTTGCTTATAGGAAACCAGTCACATTATTATGCTGACTTGCATGTGCAGTAAAGAGAATAATGTTGCTGTGATATGTCATCCTACATTTGGGTACAGATACTAAGAAAACCCTGAATTTGTACTGGAAGTTGGAACCAATTTGGAATGAAGGAAAGAAATATACAGGCAAATGACAACTGAGTCCCGCAACATTACATGGTTTTTTAAAATATAGTATGAACAGTCATGAACTTAAAAATAAAATTAGAACCATTCCTCTCCCCCCCCCCCCACACACACACACAGCTAGTTTGCATGATCACCACAGCCTACTATGGCTTATCTCAGGTGCCTGGTGGTAATCATTTTGAATATTGAAGCCATGGTGGTTGGGCACTGAGGTTCATAGACTGGGTTCAGACATTACAACAAACCATGATGGAAACTGTGGTGGCATGGCTTATCATCAATCATAGGTGGACAGCAATTATAATAGGTACTGAGGCAAGTACTATGGGTACTGAATGCCCACTTACCCTTCTATAACTCCAAAAACGAGGCACAGCATATTGAAGTTGTCTTTCCTATCCTCTGCTTCTCTCTTAATACTGGAAAAGAGAAGAAATAGTAGCAGTGACTTCCTTAAGTTGCATTGATTTCATCAGGCTTACTCTAACTAAGTATTACTTGCCAGTAGAGTTACATTGGAAGGGAATCTTCCCATTATAAAGCAAAAGCTCTTCATCTCTGTGAAGGTATCTGTAATGGAATCTTCATTAACTGGTTGCAAAGCAGAGGAGGAGAATGGGATCTGTATTAGGTGCATTTGAATGTGTTCATAACTGACCTAGAATGAGAAGCAAACAGTGAGTTAGCAGAGGTTGTATATGATGCCCATCTATACAGGATGTAAGATCCCAGGTAGAGCATATAGAACTCCAGAAGAATTTCTTCAGAATGGGTGACCAGGCAACATAATTACAAATGGCATTCAGTGTGAGTACATACAAAAGGATGCATAAAAGTTTGTCTTCAGTATTCACATAAAAACCAGTAGTACCTAAACTGGCTGTTACCGAGATTTTCATGTCTCCATGGAAAACCCATGGAAACGTCAGTTGAGTACACTACAAAAATGAAAAAAAAATCAGTGCTGGGAATTAGTGAATGAGAACAGATATAACAAATATAATACCATTTGCATAAAACTGCAGCAAACCCAGAAGTGAGCTTCCTCTACAGCAATGTCTATCCCACCTAGAAGTGATTTCTCATGGCCAAAGAATGGGGAAAAAGACAGGAAAAGTCAAGCAAGATTAGGAGGTAGAACATCTTCCATACAAAGGAAAGCTCAGGACATTGGAACTTTTTAGTTAGAAAGAACAATGATTAAGTGCAGACATGGTAAGTATAAAACTATGTAAGGCGTAGAAAGAGTGAATCAGGCAGACTTATTCTCTTCATCAAGATAACCTTAGAACTTGGAAAGCTGATTGGAAGTAAGTTCATCATTGACGAAATGAAGGACTTGGTGTCCAAGTATAGTAGAATTTGTTGTCAGGGATTCTGAGCAAAATTTGATGTAATGTCAGTCAACTTTCATTCACAAAACAGGATTCCCCGCCCTCTCCTCCTCCTCTTCTATCCCTCCCATCACAACCCCACCCCCATGGCAGATCTTGAGTGCACATAGGCAGGCAGGAGGGGAAATCAGCCTATTATATGGATGGAAGCAGTTCCATCACTGGCAAGAGTTAATTGGATACCACCTATTGTGATGGCCCCTACTATAGCTGGCTTAAAAAAAAATAGTTACACAAATCAGGAATGATAGCCTTATCAGCAGCTGTGAATTGTGATAGTTAAAATAGATCCTCTTATGTTCAATGTCATATTCTGGGGTGGGGGAAAGAGGAGGGAAGGCTACTTTCATCATGCAGTGACTGAACTTCCCAGGGGTATCTGTCTGAACACTCTAGAACAGATCTGGGCATTGCACGGCCCGCGGGCCACATCCAGCCCGATGGCTGACCCTCACTGGCCCGCATGAGGTCACAGGCAAATTAAAAGTCAATGCAAATATATATCGTCGTAATATAGATGCAAGCAATACAACTGCACTGCTTTTATTTTGAAGGATCTGCTAAATTGAATTTATTGCTTTTCATGTAATGTTAATGTTGTCATGAATATTCATTAAATAGTGTTGTTCTGTGCTCCACATTTTCATTGTATCATTGTAATGTTTCATTTACTGTTTTTATAGAGATATATACTGAGCAGAGCTGTAAGTGTATTGGTCCGGCCCTTAACAACTGTCAAAGTTTCTCATGTGGCCTCATAGGAAAATTAATTGCCCACCCCTGCTCTAGAAGACAGAGTGCACATTCAGTGTGATCCAGCCAGAGGACTCTCTTATATTCATCTGAAATGTTTGTTTGATATTGATTGTATTATATTGATCAATATTGTATTTAATATTTATTTTATTATATTGATAAATATAAGTATTGACATCAATTTCAATAATAAATATCAGTAGCTTGTGAAGAGCCCAAGATGACTTGCATAATCCTTGTCCTCCATTTTATCCTCCCATCCACCCTATGAAGTAGGGTTGGTTGAGAGTCAGTGGCTGCCCCAAAGTCACCCAGTGAGTTTCAGGGCCAAGCTGGGAGTAGTGCTTGGATTGTCTGAGTCCCTGGTCCACACTGGCTCCTCTGGTGGCTTAGCTTTGTAGCAGAGGAATTTTTAAAGAGCTTAGGAAACCACTTGCTGTTGTACACAAGTGCTTCTGTTAATGTTAGAAAGTGTTTTTTACACCCAAAGGCATTGAACTGTCCACGAAGGGTAACAGATACAAATGTGAATAAAACACAAACTGGATGTAATTGAAGAAAAATGGGGGAAAGGGGGTATGTTCCAACTTTTGTCGTATAGAACATTCCTTTTATCTCACTGTACTTCTTTTTAATCTTTTAAAATATTTTGTCTGCAAGGCCATTTGATAAAACACATAACTGCACACTTGTGCTGTACTGAAGGTTTCCCAGCTATTCTCTCTCTCAAGGATTTCATTATTTTTCTTATCATTGAATCCAAAAGACTATTCCAATGCAATGCAGATAGAAAAGCAGACTCTTCATATACTGTATGCTCTGTGTTTCCTTAGTTGGTTTGCTCTTGTGGTTCACTGAGGTTAAACAAGAATGTGTTCTTAAATTCCCTTTGTGTGACCTCTTATTTCCAAGGTTCATTAAGACATTATTACCTGTATACATTTTCCCTCTTAATTTTCACAGCCTTTTCTTTGCTTGATGATCAGGAGTATAACAAGCACCAGGAGAGAGCTAGAACTGAACTGGAGACAGGAGACAGAAGCTAAAGTTATAGCCAGAACTACATTTCTATGCATACTCACTTTGGAATAAGCCCCACTGTCCTCATTAAGACTTACTTCTAACCATAGATCTGCACTGCATTTCACTAGGTACAAAGGAGGACACAGCTCTTGCACCTTTAACAGTGTATGAAGTGGCAGCATCCATGCGTGCATATTTCTTCCTGAAAGATGATGGTATTGAACTTTACTTTGACACTGTAGTAGAGGAACGCCCTCTCTTTCTTTGCTTCTAGTTATCCTTGTTGGAATGAGGACTCAGAAGGTAACAGTGCAACTTGTTGACAACTAGCAGAATACTAGATATGCATCAAGTGGCTCTTCATAACTGATGCTACTTCCTTTCTGATGGAACATCTCAGTGCTAATCCACCGTGCTGCATCACCGTTGCTTCACTGGCTGCGGTATCATTCATAGGATCCTCTCCTTCATAGGCACAGAAGTGTAACACTAATTATGTCTTGGGCTGGCAAACGCTTTACTAATGTTCACAGATTTGAGGTGTTTCATTTTAATTATGATGAAAAAAGAAAAGCATTCATTCATGAGAACTATCCTCTTTTGAAACTGTTCCCCTTTTGTACCTCAGCTAAGTTCAAAATGGCTAAATTACAGTGCTGAAGTAGGCTAGCTGCTACAGGCTGGACAAGCCACAAATAAAAGTGAATCAAGTATTTACTCTGACATTGGCTTGAACTGGCTATTGAGATCCAGGATAGAAGCTGAGCAGTCTATCAGGAAGGAGCAACTTTTGGCAGATGTAGGTGGAGAACCTGGTTGAACTGGATGGGGGAAATCCTGGTCTGCTCTTGTGCCTGCAACCCTGAAGCAAGCAAATATGCCAGATGCAGATGGAGAGCCTGTTGGAGCTGGATGTGGTGATGGCCAACAAGACCTGTAGCCATATATTAACACAAAAAAATAGGTCAGAGCATGCAAGAGCTATAGCAAGCCAATCTCTGTGAACCCTAAGTAGTTTGATCTGTACTAGTGCAAGAGGCTGCAAATGCCTCTGGGATAAAAGCAGAATTCATCAGCCAGTGAGGTTTTTTCAATTAAATGTTAATAACAAGAGAGAGAGACCTCAATATACACATCAGAGTAAATACCTTTTATAAATAAGTTAAGAGTCCAATCTTATGCACCATTATTTTGGAGTAAGTCTTATTCCAGTGGGGCCCACCTTTGGGTATACTCTGGATAGGCTTGTGCTGTAAAAAGGATGTACTAAAATTCAAACTCTGAGTCTCTGCAGACTGCCAATGAGAAAGCCTTAGCCTTGAGTGGCTGTGCCAGCACTTACGAGCATGGTTGCAATTTTATTACCATGTTACAATTTATATCCTAGGTACATAAAGTTAATTACTACTATATTGGCATTTATGGATCTCTTTTTTAAAGTTGGAGTAATTATGTATATATTCCCACTGTACATATTTAATAGATATAATTGTTTTTGCTCTGTGGGTACCACAAGCCTAGCTTCCAGTCTAAAGAAGTTCTGAAAGATACTCGCAGCCTCCATTCCTCTGAAGGGAAGTTTCAAGAATACTGGACTGCTTATTCTGCATAGTAGGAATATGCAAACTGCCCTTAGCCCAGATGACATTAGATGAGAACAGTGCAGCTCTAGGTCTTATTCCAAAAATTGTAATATGTATATGCCTTTTCTAAATTAAAGTTTTTAATGGCATTTGCAGCATTGTTGGTCAGGCAGCAAATATACTTCTTTTCTGAAAGTTGTTAGCATGTCCCTACCATGCTATCACAGTGCCTTGATGCAACAAAAATGTAATTCTTCCTCCAGCTGCAACTTTCAATGGATCATTCATTCATGAAGCTTCTGCTACAATAATATGTTAATCTTTGTAGTACTATAGGATCCTTTGTTCTTTTTACAACTAAAGATTAAAGCAGCTGCCCTTCTGGACATCCTCCAGCTATTACAAATGTAGAAATTATGTGAAATGTGGCTGCATAAATGTCATGTCAGCCACTGGCATTATTGCTCCAAATGGTACAGTTCACCTGCCTTTGCTATTTTATGGTATTTAAAATATATATTTTGTAAAAGCAAAATTTGCTTTTTAGATCTGGAATGGGAACCTCCATCCTTTGGGCCTAACCAAGCTGTGGAGGTTTTCCACACTCCCACTTGGAGAACTCCCTACTATTATCACAGTCACTGATGCCATGTGGCCTACCAGAGTGGTCCAGAGGGCAGTTCCAGCCTCTGGTCTAGCAAAAGGTCCAACAACCCTGTTTTAGAGGCTGAACAATTACCTGCTGAACCAGGCATGCATGGGAGCCTGTATAATTATTAGTTCTTTTTTATTTCTCTCTCTAGTTTGTTTAAATGTTGAATATTTCACAATTCTAGTGCTGTGGTAATTCACCAATGCAACCAAACAAAGCAATGTTTCTGTTCCACAGTTAGGCTACTTGCCTTCTTTTCTAGTTTGTACGGGTAGGATACCTCACTTTTCAAATAATCTGTATCATGCATTTCAAAAAGTTGTAACAAAATCTATAAACAGAGGTAAAAAATCAATATACAGAGGTAAAAAATATTTGAGGCCTTTGAATTGTGGTGCTGGAGAAGACTCCTGCAAGTCCCTTGGACTGCAAGGAGATCAAACCAGTCAATCTTAGAGGAGATCAACCCTGACTGCTCTTTAGAAGGCCAGATACTGAAGATGAAACTCAAATACTTTGGCCACCTAATGAGAAGGAAGGAGTCCCTGGAGAAGAGCCTAATGCTGGGAACAATAGATGGCAAAAGAAGAAGGGGACGGCAGAGGATGAGGTGGCTGGATGGAGTCACTGAAGCAGTAGGCGTGAGCTTGAGTGGACTCCGGGGGATGGTGGAGGACAGGAAGGCCTGGAGGAATGTTGTCCATGGGGTCGCGATGGGTCGGACACGACTTCGCGACTAGCAACAAGCAACAACAAAAAATAATTGGTTAGATTGGATAAAGGTTTTGTATAGCAGATACAATAAATACATATAAAATTAAATACCTATGTGTATTTCACTTTTATATTGTATTGCAGTCTTCCTGAACTTGGCGCCCTTCAAATGTTTGAGACCACAGCTCTCATGTTTCCTAACCATTGGAACAGAGTTGATGGGAGTTAAAGGCCAAAACATCTGGAGGGCACCAAGCTAGGGAAGACTGTTATATTAGGAATTGCACAAGTGTCACAGCCAGTGAAAAACACTTTTTTAAAAAGTATATGAACATATGTTAACTATGTGTTTCCAGGTGTATGCATGAGGTTACATCCAACATCATGGAACAGACCTTCTACCATGTGCACCACCCCCCAAAAAGGGACAAAAAAAAAAAAAAGGCCTGGGAGATCCTCCAACCCTCCAGAGGAGATTTTGGGCTACCCAAAGTATTTTCTGTGCTCTCATGATTCCTTATCCACCGTATTTGGTGGCTGTTTTAGATGACATCCTGTTCCTCCAGGGCCACTCCCATGCTTTCTGAGCATTTCTGTGGCATTTAATGAATAGGATAATGAGCTATTAAAGGGCTTAAGACAGTATAAAACACTACAAAATGGCTTTGTGTTTTCAGAGTTCTGCTATATCTCAGCACCTCCTTGTGAGTGTGTAATGGAACGTATAGAAAGAAAAAGATCCCCCATCCCAGGAGGAGGTGTGTGTAAAGGAGTTAATCTTAAATCTGCAAAGAATCTTGCAGCAGAAGCCTTGATAAGTGGCAGGTTAAGGCAGGTTAAAAATGTAATGTAGAGAAGCCCTTGGAAGGGCAGAGATCCACAGTGGGAGGAGGAATCAGCTCCACTCGGATGCATTTCTATTTGCAGACAGACACAATTGGATTTCAGCCACAGTTTGTAAATAGCATGCCATTGAAGGGGAAAAGAAGGATGTGCATTTCCATCCCACATCATCATCCAACTGATCTGATTCCCCCTTTCATCTTCTCTCTTTAATTTTATAAAAAGATTAGGATTATGATTAAATAGGCCAACTATAAGACTTTCAAGGTTACTTTTGTAAGACATGGATGCATATAACAGTTTTTAAAATTCATTGAATTGCTGTTTAGGCTTGGCAGCACTAGCATTGCTTTCTTGAGAAAGGAATAGATGCAGCAAAATTCTGGAAGCTGGTGCAAGAATGCTTTGGGGCAAAATAATAATAGCTTTTGCCCTTCCAGTCTTGCACACATCTTGATACTTTGCATTGACATGTACCGTTGGAAACAAGATGTTGCAGATTATAAGGGGAACTGTTTCCATGATGACTGATTTAATGTGGGAGTAAGGAAAGCATAAGGAAGCAGTAATGGAAACATTTGGCCGAAACTCCCATCCACCTGATTTCTTCTGCTAGATTTGATCGAACACAAGACAACATAATAATGATTGTGATTAATGAGATGCTTATTCCCTGGACTGTGATGCATAATGCTTCCACAAAGTGGGGGTGGTGGACATCAGCATATCCACTACACTTCTTTTTACCTACCCAAGCTCTTCCCTGATTCAGCCTTATTCTGCCTCTCCTGTCAGCTATGAAAGCTAAACAAATTCTGCATATTCAGAGATAGCATATCTCTATTTTCAAGGTGATGGACAAATGCTGTTTCCTGCATAGCTTTCTGGTAAGCTTCCCATTTGGCCTGATCTTTGTTAAAACAGGACAGCTGGATTGCATAGCCACAAAATGATTACCAGGGAGAGATGAAACCCAACCCTCAAATGGTCAGACCATATGCTGCCAGTTCGTTGGTGCTGAAACACAACACCAATTCAACTGAAGCTAAAGTGAAGCTTCTCCAAGAACAGAAATAAATCATATAAATAGAAGTGAGATTTGAGACAAAATAGAAAATTCTCCAAATCAATTCCTCTTCAATTTCTCCCAAATATGCAAGTATAATCCAACTTAATTTCCTATCCAGATGCACCCTGATCAATTAATCTAATTCCAAAGACTCATTTTTCAACTGCTCCCTTCCAAAGAATATTTACCTCCTGCCTGGTTTTCTTTCAAAGAACCCAGTCCTTTCTTCCTTTAGCCCCAACTTAGGGAAGAAGAGGTACAGTGAATCCTAACGCTGGCCCCAAGGTCACAATCTTATGTGTTTATAAGCATTGAAATGTCCTACATAGCCCAGCTTTCCTCCAGCTGGCTATATTGACAATAAGGAACAATAAGATTTTTTCTAACTAAATATGGACAGAATTGCAGACTAATTCTGGGTTAAAATTCCATGTTGTTTTCCTCTCAACAATCCAGAATTTAATACATCATGCCAAACCCAAATCCTGGTCCTTGGGTTGTTTGATAAGCAAGAAAAAAACAAAAACAAAAGCAGTGAACAGGTACAAAACACCCACTCCATCATGGCCCCAACTGTAGGAAATCCTCTCAAATAGATTTGTTTGATTCTGAGGAGAAGGGCCAAGGATGTGGTAGTTTCAAGGTTACCTACTGAAGATTCTCAAGCACAGTGTGAGAACCAGCCCACCTTGGAAAACAGGGGAGACATTTCAAAGGGGGAGAGATGTATGAGGAGTTCCTTCACCTGGTCAGGAGATAATAGGTGAAGTTAGCAGACCACTTAAGAAGTGTTGCCCCCTAAACATCAGGAGCTAATCTGAAGGTATAGTTTTATTGAAGCTTTATTGAAAGGGAGGAAAGGAGGGAAAGTTTCCACCTAGGTTCAACTCTTTTCATGGGCAGGTGCTTCTCCCTCATCTCAAGGGAAATGCTACCCTGATTTATGCAGATCTTTAACCTGTTATGTTTAATAAAAGAACTGTGCTTCTAAGGTTTCTTTTCAGTTCCCTGAAAGGGAGGGAAAGACCTGCTCACAACTCCAACCAACATTGGTTATCATTATGTACAGAGTCATAACGTAATTAATTAAACATCTCTTAGTTTGTAAACATTCTTTGAAATACTTTGTTAGCACATCTGGTGCAGTGCTTAAGAGCACAGGACTGAGACTCAGGTGATCTGGTAGTCCCCGCTTGGCCATGGATTCAACTAGGTGACCTTGGGGTAGTTGCAAACACTCAGCCCAACCTACCTCACAGGGTTTTTGTTGTGGAGTTAAGATTGAGAGCAGGAGAAGAATGATGGAAGCCACTCTGAGTTTGTTAAAGCAAAGAAGCAGGATATAAATCCCATAACGTGTGTGGCATATTAATTCCAGTTGATTTGGGATTGGAGTAAGTATATTATACAGGAAATATGAATATGCTGCCAGCTTTCTGATTTCTCTTCCTGGAATCTAACAGAATGCATCTTAATAACAAGTGTTTTCCTCCTAGAAATTTTAAAATACAAATTGCAGAAATTATAAAATGCACAAAGCAAAATCAACATGCCCTTTAATTTCTTTGTTGGAACATATGAACACAGCAGATTGCAGAGGTATTACTGCCACAACAGCTTGCAAACAATAAGTTTTGGATTGGCTGCTGAGATTCCAGTAACCCTTCATACTCATCCAAAACCTGGAACCTTATTGAAAGACATAGTTACACCTGCTTTGTCAAATGTGCTAGTCAATATAGGAAATTTTCTGAGTTGTAATCCCATGTGCATTTACCAGCACATAAGTCCCATTGAAGTCAGTGAAATTTACTTTTGAGTAGGCAAGTATAGGATTGCACTGTTAGTTGA